ATTAAATGAAATAAACATTTGAAATATATGAGTTTGTATGTAATGTATGAATATAATATACAAGTTTCACTTTTTAAATGGAATTACTGAAATAACTCTATAAATCTTTAAAAATGTAATTTTTTGGTAAGATACTTGTACTTTTACTGAAGTATCACATTGTGGTACTTTATCCAACACTGGTTTAGTGTAAATATTAGGGCTGGGTGTCGTGGCCAGTTCCCTAAATCAATTCAATTTTGATTTATAAGGTTTTGAATTGATTAGTCATGATTCGATTCAATTCGATTTGATCTTCTCTTAAATTATGAAAATGGTTCAACTTTGTTGCAAAATACAAATTCACTTTATTTTTTCTTTTCACCATAAACAACAGGTTTTAAGGAGAAACTTGTAAATTAAACAGTTTAACCTTGAAACAAGATTGTCTGTCTGAGGTTTCAAAGGTTTTAAATTAAAAAGGAATTGTAAGTGACAGTGTTGTTGTTGTTGTTGTTGTTGTTGTTGTTGTTGGATGCAGTCATTTTTCAAGAAATTAATAATTTTCTTGACGAATAAGTAATAGTCATCTAATATAAGAATACTTCTGCCCACTCCTTTGAGCGTATTAAAACTGTATATTTGTAATGTTTCTGTTAGCTTCTGTTGAATAAAACTTATTAAAACAAAAAATAAAAAATGAAACAACTACAACATAACTTCACTGTGAATTTCATCAAGACGTTTCTTAAAGTTTATRAATAATATTGGTAAAAAACTAAGTGTCGTCTCACACATTTCTACACACCTGTAGAACAGTTTCAGTCAGATGTTTACAGTTTTCCTCTACAGAGTAAATCTTTACAAACAGATGTCTCCATGATCTCTGTTATGTTAGTGATTCAGTAGTTTCTGTTTTGATCCAGACAACTTGTTGTCAGAAGCTAACGTTAGCACTGAACGTCAACCGGATGTAAACATACGGCAAGCCAGGAGTGACAAAATACAGAAACACTTCAGCTTCATCACAAGACGCCATGAAGATAAATCTCATGCTCTGTGAATTCTTTTCACACATTTCAATGAAATTGATCCAAGATGGATTAAATGGATTTTTTTTTTTTTTACCCAGCCCTAATCCTTCAGTTAATGTCCTCCTAAGTTACAACCTGACTTGTTTGTTTCAGTGAAGGTCCAGAAATCAGACCTTCCCCACAGCTGGGACCCCTGTGTGAACTACTGTCACCCCACAAACCCAACCCTCTGCAACACGAGTTCTACTCTCAACAAGTCCTGGACCGCCTCCAACAACAACACCATCAACAGCCTGGACTACTGCAAGTGTAAGAGCTGAGCCTACTGTTAAACCCATTGATATATAGTACTGGATTGAGTGTGGCTAGCGCATTGCTAGCTACACTGACGTGCACACTGGAGCTCTGTTCTGCACTGAGGAGCCTCAACAAAATGAATGGAGGTCAATGGACTGTGAGATGTCTTCCTGATGAAAAACTCTTATAACTTCCTTATTTCTTGCTCCATTTTTACAAACTATGGTTCAAAATAAAGCTGAGGAAATTGTGAATTTTATAGTTATGGAAATGTAAAACAGATAAATAATTTAAATGACTAAAACAGTGGCTTAAACTACAAAGGTTTTCGCTGTAAACTACTATAATTTTAACAACATTAAAAACAAACTAAAAAATGCTAATTATTTCATATCACAAAGAATTATTCTTCAGTTTCACGATGATGCAAGCTGTATCTGAAACTGACCCACATTTTTTCCTCATTTTTCTCTGGAAATGTTGAAAAACAAATACTGGATGCAGAAAATATCTGAATAAACCAGCCTGTCTGACAACGTGACTGTTTATGTCATTAGTGTCTGTCATTACAGTGTCTACATCATAATTTCTGAATTTATATGCAGTCTAACTAGTCATCAATCTAATAAAGTCCATATTTACATGTTTAATATCAGTAAATAATATATTTTACAACAGATAAAATAGATTTTAAATTAGGTTAAACAGGAACATTGAAGCTTTTTAATGTTAGCATTCACAGTTTTACAATTAAAATTAATTTTGGTTAAATATGTGTAATATTTACCTCTGAAACATAACCCTTTTAGCTCTTGTAAACATGTTAGAACAATTTCTGAAGTTTATAGCAAAGTATTCGTACATTAGAACATTTATAAAGTGTTTTTTTGCGCCGCGCTACGTTCTGCTCATTGATTTCAATAGTTAGCGTTAGCATTAGCTCAATGCATAAAAGTCCCCCTTGCGAAGCCACGCCCAGGTCACGTGACGTCCAATCCAGTGATATATATCAATGGTTAAACCTACTGCGGAGCTGTCTGCACCCACTCCTGTGTTCAGTGGCATTGATGTGATTCTTTGTCCTGTTGGAACTAAAACCCAGTGTTTTGTCTTTGGGATGCTGCAGCTCTGGTGTGTGCCAGCTTCTCTCCTGGTTCCACCACCACTTCGGGCCCCAGCAGTCAGAGCTCGAGCACGCTGCCCAGGCCGGCGGTTCCCATGAGTCCTCGCAACTCGCTGCTCAAACGGCGGCAGAGAAAGAAAGACCACAAGAGCTCCCGTGGGTTCCGTACATCAGTTACATTATCACACTTTCCCAACGGTCGGTCTAACGTCGTCTGTGTTTGGGTTTAGTGTCCCTGGCCTCCAGCTCTGTGGGTCCGGGTGGTCAGGTGGTCCACGTGGAGACCAGCGAGGTCATCCTTTCAGGTGATCCGCTCAACGGCTTTGGTGTTCAGCTTCAGGGAGGAATATTTGCCACGGAAACACTTTCTGCACCGCCGCTCATCCGATTCATCGAACCTGACAGCCCAGCCGAGAGGTGAGCACGCACACATTTACTGACACACAAACACGACCGCAGTAAATCCCACAACCAGGGAGACTTTTTACCTAAACCACACAGGGAAAGATGACCTGTTAATATTGTTGACCGAACAATGTCCTTTTTTGATACTTGCACTCATCTGGAGAACAGAAACCACAGATATGATTCCTGCAGTGGTTTTTAGAGAAATGCTTCCCAGTCCAAGATTAGAAGCTGTTTGTAAAGTTAAAGTTCTACATTAAGGTGAAGTGTGTTTGGGAAAGCTCTCTGTAGTGTTTGATGGATTAGACTCATTCTGCAGCTTGTTGATGCCTCTCACTGTTCGAGTGTGACCGTGCTGAATTTACTGCAGCATTAGCAGCTCTGCTTACTGACTTCCTTCATCCTATGTGTGTGTGTGTGTGTGTGCTTGTTTTTACTACAGAGTTAGGACCAATTGCACCATAGTTACTATCAAAGTGAGGTCATTTTGGAAGGTGAGGACCTCTTCAATGTCCTCACTTTGTTTGCAGCTCTGCTGTGCTTTACTAGTTAGGTTTAGAGGTATGGTGTGAGTTAAGTTCTGGTTCAGGTTAGTGTTAACTATAGACCAGTAATGGTTAATTTTACTAGTTAGGTTTAGAGGTATGGTGTGAAATAAGTTCTGGTTCAGGTTAGGGTTAACTATAGACCAGTAATGGTTAATTTTACTAGTTAGGTTTAGAGGTATGGTGTGAGTTAAGTTCTGTTCAGGTTAGGGTTAACTATAGACCAGTAATGGTTAATTTTACTAGTTAGGTTTAGAGGTATGGTGTGAGTTCAGTTCTGGTTCAGGTGAGGGTTAACTATAGACCAGTAATGGTTAATTTTAGTGAAAATGTCTGGGTTAGGCATAAATACAGTAACACAAATGAATGGAAGTCAATACAATGTCCTCAGTTTGATGCAAATACAAGTTTGTGTGTGTGTTGGTATGATGGCTTTGTGTGGGTGGATGTGTGAGACTGATGTTTCAGTGTATGAACAGCTTTTCCTGGTTTTTGTGTTGTGTGTGGGTGTATGAGAATGTACCCAAGCAGAGTCAAGTTTTTCCAAATATTGATGCCCGAATGTGTGTATTTGTGTTGTTAGCAAGTTCTTATCGACTTCATTTGTAAAAACCCTGTTGCACCTTTACTGTATGTATGTGTGTGCATGTGTGTGTGCACTGACTGATGTTTCCATTATATGAATTGCTTCTTTGAGAGCTGGGTGTGTTTCTCCACCTCGAGGCCACAATCCCTTTTCCATTAGCGCCCACACTAAAAACACTAATTAGTTAGCTTCCTCTCGCTCACGCCGGAGGAATCAATAAGTAGCCTTCTCTGGGTTCGACAGGGTGAATCTAAATAAAGCCCCTCACACCACCCTAATTACATGAACTCCAACTTCTAGCCTTTAAAACTATAAGTCTTGTTCAACAGCGACCAGCCAGGACTCCTCCCTTTAAGGCGTTTAATCTGTAATTATCTTGCATTAGCGCTGCTAGTGGGTTTTTTATGTTAATAAGGTGAAAATGTCCTTCCAACAATAACTTTCTGATAGTTTGATTAAAATCTCTATAGGTTGAGATATTTTGCTAACAGGCAAACACACAGAGAGCATCTTTATTGTAGTTTTTTTTACCTCCACCCTCGCTGACGACACCTCGCTAACTGTTGCAGGTGTGGCCTGCTGCAGGTTGGAGACCGCCTCCTGTCAATCAACGGGATCCCCACAGAAGATGGAACGCTTGAGGAAGCCAATCAGCTTCTCCGAGACGCTGCGTTGACCAATAAGGTCACTTTGGAGATTGAATTTGATGTAGCAGGTTTGTAGAACTAATAACATGTGACTCATTCTGCCTGTTACCTTTTGTTGCCTTAGATTTTATCAGACTCAAAACTTTACTGCTGTAGATTTAGAAATGCAATTTATTAGTTTTTCTTTGTGCACCATGAAGATATTTGTACAGACTGGTCAAGGGATCCACGATTAGTTGTAACATTATTTGATAAACATATATTTTATCTGTAAAATAAAAACTGTAAAAATACTGTAGGCTGTTTAGTTTTTACAATTTTAAACTAAATTATAAAAAATATATGACATGGTTTTGAGGCATTTTATTTACACGCAAAGCATTCTGGGTAAATGATGACATGGATAGGTCCTCGGTGTGAGGCTGCTAGCGAGCTATATCCACCCTGAAGGTTAATCTTGGACAATATCTGATGATCGACTCTTTTAAATGAAACCAGAGAGCGTTGACAGAGAGGAGAAGGTAGAAATGACTCAGCCTGGAACTGAAAATATGGATGGAGGACAACAGAGCTGCTTCATGGAAGAAGAAACTCAGCTTAGACTGTTAGCTTTAGCGTTAGCCCCGACGCTATCACCATATATATGTATTAGCTCAGCGCTACGCATTCTCCTCACGTCACTGAGGTCCTCCATCCACATGACAGAGAGGGGAACGTAAAAAAGACAGCCTGCAACTGAAAATATGGATGGAGGACCTCAGTTTAGCTTGTTAATTTTTCGCTAGCGCTAAGCTAATACATATAAGGCAGTGTTAACGCTAATTCTAAAGCTAACAGGCTCTAACACCGCTAACAACTTTTTAATATTGTTACCAGAAAAAAATTAAGTTGCGTCATCTGCAAATAAAATAAACTTGAGCAATTTAGAAATCATAGTAATATTGTTTATATACAAAAGAAAAAGTATCGATCTAAGGACCGATCCCTGTGGTACTCCACAACTAATATCATGCACAGCAGACTTTCTACCACCGATTTCTACAAACTGTCTTCTATTCTTGAAATAACTTGTGATCCAATCAAATGCCAGTCCTCTGATACCGTATTTAATGTAATTTAACCAATAATGAGTGATCTAAAATATCAAAAGCTTTTTGTAAATCTACAAATACACTCACTAGATATTGTTTTTTGTCTATTGCTGCTGAAAGTTCTTTTACCAAATCAATTATTGCTGTTGCAGTTGAGTCATTTGCGCGAAATCCATATTGACAATTTGGAATAAATTAATTTAATCTGTTGACAAATAACTTCTCCAAAAATTTTGAAAATCTTGGATCGCTTTAAATTTGAGCTGCTGAGAGTTTTCAGGCGGGTACAGGAGGGAGACAGCATAATTACTGCTCCTCTCTTCGGGGCACGGCCCCATCCAAATGCTTTTAACCTCGAAGAAAAACTCCATCAGTTCAAGCAGAGTATTATTGTCCTCTGCAAGGTGGAAATAAAGTCACACCAAAGTGCACCTGAACAAACTTAAACATACAAGTTAAGGTTTAATCACTTAACCAACTTAAGAACCATCTAAGTCCATAAACACCAAGAAGAACCTGCAAAAAAACTCATCAGTTTGGAGATTTCTGGAATGTTTCTAAATAGAAACAAAGTTGAGCTGCTGTATTAGGAGATGTAATTCATCAGGGCTTCCTTTGGACATTTTCTATAATCATATTAAAACTTTTAGCTTCTGTTTGTTGTGTGACGGTGGGTGTGTTTGTGTTTCAGAGTCGGTGGTGCCCAGCAGCGGCACGTTTCACGTCAAGCTGCCGAAGAAGAGAGGCGTGGAGCTGGGGCTCACCATCAGTGGTAGGGAGACGCCGATGCGTGCGTCTGATCTATGTTTTGTTTGGATTAGCTGCTGGCAGAATGTTTAGGCTACGTCTGAACACCCAGAGCTCCGCCTCAAACACACTCAGGTCAGAAAACACTCAGCTGGAAACACTCACAGTGTTTATCAAATGATAGAGAAACTTTTTTCTTTTTTCTGTTGCTGATGGTTCTGCCTTATAAAGTCAACAGGAGAAGGTCAGGCCTGAAGATGACAACATGGATCTGATCTGCATTTAAAATAAAATGTAGTTGGCTTTATTTCATGTTTTTCTTTTGCTTTTTAAAAGTTTTTAAGCTAATATTATTTTAAGAAATGTGATTTTTTTTAGATCACAAATAAAATATAAGTGTAACCACCAGAATGTATTCAACCACACACACACACACATATATACACACAGCTTCAGAGTTGGGGAATTCTTTTTCTTATTTTTGCTTTTGCCATGTTGGTCTTATTGGCTTCATATCTTGAGTTTCATAGAACTCTTCAAATGTTGTCTGTGGAAGAATACTCTTATCAGTAAAAAATCTGTTTGATGCCAAAAATGTAGCTTATCATGCTAGTCGCTAGCCTCTCCGATGCTAACACTAGCTTATCCATGCTAACTACTAGCCTCTACAATGCTAACACCAGATTATTCACGCAATTCATTAGCTTCTCCGATGCTAATGCCAGCTTATCCATGCTAGTCACTAGCCTCTTTGATGCTAACACTAGTTTATCCATGCTAACCACTAGCCTCTCCAATGCTAACGCCATCTTATCCATGCTAGTCATTAGCCTCTCCAAAGCTAACACCAGCTTATTCATGCTAGTCTCTCCAATGCACACAAATGAATAGTCTCCTCCTCATTTACCAGCTCCAGCTGCTCAGTTAGCCATGCCGCCCTATCGTCAATCAGATCAATAGCTGGATTAGGAATAGATATAGCCTCCTGCTGCAAGTATATAGCAACCCCTGGTTGTGCAATACTCCTCATTTTGGCCCTCATACTGCGCCATAAAAAAGGTCCAAGAAGTAAACAGACAAAGTAGAGTTATATTTGGAACATAAACATCTATTTTCTTGCACGGGTTTTCATAATTTCCCTTTGTTTCATAAATATGAGATCAAAAAGTTTGAAAGCAACATTTTCTGTCGGTGTATGAGTGACACTTAACGCTGCACCGTTTGGTTTCCTTCTGGACTTAAATATGAGCCGCTCTCAGTCGCACCTTTTTGAGGAGATTAACAGCTTCAGTGAAGCTAATTTTAGCAGCTCTGTCATGAATCACAGAAGTGTTCTCACCAGCCTCAACACCGCTGTAGATTTATGCAACGAGGCTGACAGTTTACCTTAAAATCCTCCAATTGACCATTTAACTGGTCTAAATGACCAATAATGCTGCTTAGTTGATTGCTTTACTTACAAAAACTATTCACTTTCAGAAATTAGTGTATAATTACTGACTTGCTTGATTGGAGGTATTTGTTTTATGAAGGATCCAATGAGATGAGGCTTTTCAGCTGCTGTTATATGAGCTGAAACGTCTCAGACAGGAAACGGTGCAATGGTGCCATCTTCTGAGCAGATAAGTCCACGTCAGATGAAGAGGACCAAAAACTTTAAGATTTTATTGCTCATGTTTAAGAATCTAAATGGCATGGTGCAATATTTTACAAAAGTGTTTTTATTTGTTTTTAACTTTTGCTTAATCAAGTTTCATAAATAAATTGTTTTTTCTGATCACTTTTATCACTGGATCTAATTACACTACTCCAACTATATTGTCTGCTGTGATTACTGTATTGAACTGGTGTACATATGTTTTATATATTATATTTTTTACTTTTTACTTTATCCTTTGTATTTTTTTATAAATGAATGATTTTTATTTATTTGGTCACATTAAAGAACACTCCACACAAAAACAAACAAAACTTTAACCCTATATGACCAAATAGTTAGAGGCCGAAGCCAATGGCTTGTTTTGCCTCACCTTACACTTCATAATGGATTCCCCAAAACAAAATACACAAAAAAAACCACACATATACTTCAACTGCATCCTGCTTATATACAAATCATTGATACAGTTTTTTTTATCAACAATATCATTATTATTGTCCGTACATGCAAAACAAATATGTAATATATTACCACCACCGTCATCACAACTGACTACTATAAACCATAGCTCATAATTAATTTACCTTTTTACTTCTTTTTAAAACTTAAAAGAGTCACTAAACTTAATTTCATCATTTAAATATTCAACAATTTAACACCCATTACAGAAACACATCTGTATTTGATATTTGTTCTTACTTAATGTTCTTCAAAAATAAAGAACCACCTTAAATTATAATTATTTTTCCATAACTTAAAAAAATCTTTGAAAACCATCAGGAAGACTGTTTATTCTTACTCGATATAGTAACTCCAGTGTTTTTAAATACACTATATCACTAACTTTTAAAGCAGAAGACTTTAAGAATAGTGGGTTTGTGGAATCAAAAAAAACAGCATTATTTATTAATCTAATTAGTCTTTTTCTTTATTTGTTATATTTTATCCTTATTGCACCTTTACACTGAAGCAATTTCCAAATCTATGAATCCTGTTCGATGACAATGGCAGTAAAACTGATTCTGATAAAGATCTAAGTTTATTTCATTGCTAAGTTTTTTTTAACTTTTACTCTGTAAAGCAACATTTAAAAGGGTTTAACTTTTTGACACAAATCTACCTCCGAAATAAACTCGTTATTTTGAATAAAACATGTAATAAAAGTTATTTAACGTTGCAGTGCTTCATAGAGCTTATTCTTGTTAACCTGAGCTACAATCCTGCAGCTGTTTTTATATTTTCACACCTGCTGCTGGTTTTCACTGTGATCTCCTTTCTGTTAAAAGCCAGTAAGAAACCAGGAGAGTCGCTCATCATCTCTGACATCAAGAAGGGCAGCATGGCTCACAGGTACTTCACTGCATCTATTCTAGGAGTGTCCAGTCCTGGCCCTCGAGGGCCACTACCCTGCATGCATGCCCTGCCACAACTGGTTCATTGAATAAATGGATGATTAACAGGCTTCTGCAGAACTTGAAGAGGTAAATCAGCCACTGAGTCGGGGGTTAGAGCAGAGAAACAGTTAAAACCTGCAGTTTAGTGGCCTTCAAGCACCCTGATCTACTCCATCATATTTAGTTATAAACGTGTTTGTGTACATTTCTACCTTTTGTCTGGTGCCCTGGGATGACAGTCACTCTCACTCCCATCCAGAACAGGAACTCTGGAGCCCGGAGACAAGCTGCTGGCCATCGACAACGTCCGACTGGAGAACTGCTCCAGAGAAGACGCAGAGCACATCCTGCAGCAGTGTGAAGAACTGGTCAAACTAAAGATACGCAAAGATGAAGACAACTCAGGTACGTCTCTGAATGTTTCACACACGGCTTCATGCACGAGGAGAAGCTCAGGATTGGAGAAATATTCCAGATTCTCGTTAAAGGAGACCAATTATGTGTCCTAGAAATGTTTATGGTATGTCTGTGGGCTATCCAGACCATGTTCATTCAGTTTAATCACAAAAATAATTCTCAGGTAATAAAATTTACCATTTTCTAGTTCTGCCTGCTCTGACTTCTGTTCAGAAGAGCTGTTTATGTTAATGAGCTCTGTTGGTAACGCCCTCCAAAAATCTGTTGACATTAACTCCGCCCTCCAAAGCCAGCGTTTACGTTAGCATGGCTAATAATAGCAGAAGCTCCGTTGTACAACCATATGAGACCCAGAGGCAGAGTCGTGGTCCCAGCTTCTTTTTTTTCTCCCCCTCCTCCTGTGTGGGAGCTCTGCGCTCACTCTGCATGCTGTTACCAGGGCAGGTAATGGGAGCAGCAGCGGTCAAAACACCTCAGAAACTCGAACAAATAGGCTAAAGCTAAACAATAGAGGTACATGAGAAAACGTGTTCATAACGAACGAAAATAAATAATTAAATTATTTGTCAACACTCTACCCATTGCTCTATTGGAGGCTTGTTGTGAAAGGAGCTGCGCGTTACACAACAACAACAGTGATGGCCTTTTATACTGAGGAGGAGGAGCCTCACCCGAGGGTTGCTAGGTAAGGGGCTGAACGCAGATTTCGGTGGGTTGTCGTACGACTTGTGACATCACAAACTGTAGGAAGTATAAAACTTGTCATTAATATACATTAAAAATACATTTACTTACAGTAAATATGCCCCTGGGTGCATTTTTTTGTCCTAGGACTGTTTTTTAAGAAGTACATACCCAACGTTGAGTTAAAAAAAAACTTTAAAAAGTGAATTTTGCAAAATAGGTCCCCTTTAAGATAATGGTTGAATAGATGTACAGGGGTGTATTTTTAGAGTTTGACCACCAGGTGGTGCTGTGCTCCACAACATAGAGAATGAACCTCTGACATGTTCTTTATATAACTGTTAATGACTGAGGGACTGAAAACAACTGAAACACTAAATCTGATGAAAAATAACAAAACGGAACAAATCATATAATGGATTTTGTGTAGAAAATAAATGAAGCTTTGCTTGTATGATGAGTTTGCAGTGAAGCATGGGCCCACAGCTCCTCTTTGCATGTATAGAACGGTCTGAAGCCATCTATCGGACCAAACTGGGTCATGATGCAACAGAACCAGCATCCCAAACCCAGCAGCTCATCTACAATAGAACGGCTCAAAAAGAAGAGACTGGGGTGCTGCAGGAGTCCAGAACCTCAGCCTGATTGATGCGCTGTGACTGGAGAGTTATGGATTAACAACATCGACAAACTTCACGGATTTAAAACAGTTAAAGAGAGTGACCTCACTTTCTTCACAAACCTGTAGAGCTCCTTAAGCTCCAGAAATCAGTTTAATTGGAGCTAACGGTTCTGCTGTTTAATTCATGTGTTCACAAAGAGAAGCTGTGATATGTGACGTCTTCTTCAGGTTTTGTTTCATTTTTATTCTTTTTTTCCCCAAAGCTTCAGTCAGATTTTCCATTTACCAGCTGCCTGCTTGAATGTGTTTGATTCCTAACGAGCCACGCCTCATCACTCCTCCAGCCGTCTGAGTGATCGCACACCAAATACACAAACTCCTCGTAGGACGTAACAAAGCACTTTCTTATACACACGCAAAATCAAACAGCATCTGACGGGCCCTCACACACACACACACACACACACACAGCAATTAACATGCACAGCTGATACTGTCATCCTATCTGATGAGCAGAATGTTCACCAGTTCCCATGGAAACTGTATCTTTCTCTGCTCTCTGTCGTTTTGGGAAGAGGTTTGACCTACTTCTGTATTTGTGTGTATTTGTGTGTTTGTGTGTTCAAGTGAGCAGGTAATATGAGTGCGTATCACCTAATGAGGCAGAGGGCTTGTTTGTGTGCGTCTTTGCATTTTAGATGAGCAGCAGACGCTGTTAGGTTCTCCTGAGAGCTGAAACATTAGAACCCCTCTGTGTGTGTGTGTGTGTGTGTGTGTGTGTGTGTGTGTGTGTGTGTGTGTGTGTG